TTTTTTTTGTTTTTGTTGTTTGGTGGGGGGGGGTGATGGGGTGGTGGTGGTGTGTTGTTTTTTTTTTTTTTTTTTTTTTTTTTTTTTTTTTTTTTTTTTATTTTTTTTTTTTTTTTTTTTTTTTTTTTTTTTTTTTGTTGTTCCTTCTTCATGTCAACATGTTTTCAAAACGTATTTTTCGTAACTTAAGGAGTAAAAAAATAAAATAATACTAACGTAAAAGAAAAAAAAATGAATGAAAGCGAAGCTTAAGAAACAACAACCTTTGAAATACTGCAACTGAAGCTACAACAGGTTCTTGCAAATGCCGTAGCTTCTTACTTACTGCCAACGTGACAACCTTGACTTGTAAACATATAAGAGTCAAGCATTTGTTTCTTTAATCGTGTTTTGTATACCAGCCTCGGTTTGCTTCCCTTACGACAAGATGGCTGTCGTCACATCCGGGGGCCCTTGGAGCTGGTAATTATCACTTCCGCCACCTGATCAATAGGGGAAAGAAGGGGGAGAAAACAAAAACCAACGGGCGTTAACTCGGGAACGGTGCAGTTGGCAGGTGGCGTGCCCGCTGATTACTTTTGCTGGATTTCTGACACGGGAATTTGTCCACAAACTCTTGGCAAGTTTTTCCTTTCCTAAAGTTTTCTTTCCGTGAATTTTTTTTTTTTTACCATGCTTGAAGTTCTCCCAAGAGTTATAATGAATTCACAGAGTCCATTAACTGAACTTCGTAACGCTGGGTATAGTAGTATACAGAATACGATCTAACACGGTGTTTCCCAACGGGGGGCCCACGCCCCACCAGGGGGAAATTTCATTTTTTAGGGGGGGGGGGCAATTTTAAAATGAGCTGTCTCAATTTTGAAGAAAAAACCCCGTCTACTATGATTTAACCTGTATTTTGAAAACATTTCTGGGTATAGTAGTATACAGAATACGATCTAACACGGTGTTTCCCAACGGGGGGCCCACGCCCCACCAGGGGAAATTTCATTTTTTAGGGGGGGGGGGCAATTTTAAAATGAGCTGTCTCAATTTTGAAGAAAAAACCCCGTCTACTATGATTTAACCTGTATTTTGAAAACATTAGAGTCTCTATTTATTGCTCATACTGCAAATGTCATTCGTACTTTGAGGCTAGTTCTGAAATTTCCTTACTCATCACTAAATCTGGGAAAAATCATACTATAGGAGAGAATTTAATCAAACCATCAAAATCAGCATTTATGAAAGCGGTTCTGGAAAAAAGATGACGAGGACGTGAAAGCTATGCTACTCGGTAACAATACTGTTAGCAGAAGAATAGACGAAATGAGTAAAGATATTGAAATACAACTTGTTGAAAAGCTGAAAACAAGAAAATTCTCAGAGCAAATGGATTAATCAACTATCAGAGGCAGTGAGGCTGTATTGATAGATTACATAAGATATATTGATTAAGGGTGTTTTGCTGAAGAATCGTTGTTCTGTAAATCATTAGAAAGCACCACTGCCGCCAAAGATATATATATAATAAGCTAAACATTAACTTGAATGTCAATAATATACCTATGAAAAATATAACATCGTGTGCTGCAGATGGTGCTCCTAGCTGCATGAAATTGATGAAAGATGAGAATCCAAAAATGCTTATTTGTCCAATGTGTTATTCATAGGGAAAACTTGGCAGTTAATAAAAGCATTTCGTCTGTTCTTAATGGGTATTAAATTCAGTTACAAAGTGTATCAATGCTATTAAAGCTATATTGCCACATGTGAGCGTCTCTTCAAGCTATTTTGTGAAGAACAAAATGTAGACCATGTGAGGCTTTGAACTCACACTGAAGTAAGAGGGTTCTCAAAAAGGAATAGCTTGAAAAGATTTATGGAACTATTTGATGCTCTTACGATTTTTTAAAGTGACAAACCTGATATGAAGTATCTGTTAGCGGTCGATGGTAAAGCATTGATGAGTCACTTAGCTGATATATATATATATATATATGTATGTATATATATATATATAAAACAACTATGTTAAATAACCAACTGCAAGGAACAAATAAAACTCTTTTCCATGCAAAAGCGAAGATATTTGGTTTCATTACCTTTAGTGCATTATGTCAGAAAAATATTGACAACCAATTTTTTGAAAATTTTCATTGGCTCCAAAAATGTGAAGTGACTGATACCGCTATACTTGTTATTGCCGATCATCTGAAAATTCTGTCTGCTGATTTAAAAGAAAAAATATTTTCTGATTGGAAACAAATTAGAATTTACAACTTGGATGATGCAGCCAATATTATTGGACATGTCTGATGTTTCAAATATGCAGTATCTAAAAGAACTCGCAGAATTGCAAAATGATGAGTCGGTTAAAACTATATTTAATCATTATAGAAATTATTTATTATTTTTTATTTAAATTTAATGAGATATGTGTGCTTGATGCTTGCTGCGGAGAGATTTTATGTTAGGTTCCAATATAGTTAGCTTCAGTCTCAAGTCGCCACGTTGTGTAATATCCAACCGATTTCTTTTCTTTTCTTTTTTTTTTCCTTTTTCTTTTTCCAACACAAAATACGAAGATGGAAACGGTAACAATAGTTTTCTTGCACGTTTGGTTGAGTTTGGAGAGTTGATTTATGTTTCCTCACAGAGCCATGGCATCGCTCCTTTTATATTAAAATACTATAGAAAAACCTTTCATTAAAATTATTTCGTACTTGAATTTCAGTTCTCCATTATATGTTTTGAAAATTTACTCGCTATGTTTCCTACCAATTTCCTAGTTTCTTCTGTGAACAATCCAATTTTTAAATATTAAAAATTATGTATATGTATATGATACATTGGGGGGGGGGGTAAGAATTTTAGAAAGGCTAGGGAGGGGCGTGGCACAAAAAAGGTTGGGAAACGCTGATTCTAACACGAGCACCAATTAAATATGCTCAGGAAATTCGATTTGATTGAGACACTGGCATAGCATACTAAGGTTTTCTGGTTAAGTTAGACACTACGGCTATCTGGTTCAGTGAAGGGAGTTCCACACAAAGATACAATAATTGTATGCAGCATTCTGAAAAGCGCTGTCTGAAACTATGCCCCTCCCCCCTCACGAATCAATACGTTTTTGAAGTACACGTAGTTCTTTGTGTTGATCTTGAAGCAGACGATAGCTATAGGGGTATGCGGCACTCTTCTCTGCGGCAGACCTGTTTACCCCCAAAACTCTTAAAATCGTGCAATATCATCACAAAATCGTTCAATACATTAACTTAGTATAAAAAAAATAAACATACAGTAGATATATGATGTATAAACCTTAAAATCGTACATTGTACGCCAAAATCGTAGGAGTAAACAGGTCTGCTGCGGAACAGCTGCTTTGACAATGTAACTGTAACCTATTACCTCATTAAGGTGCTTCGATAATGTAACTATGACCTAACATCGCATGAAGGCGCTTTCACAATGTTACTGCAACCTAATATCTCATGAGACGTAGAAAGCCTGCTCGTTTCAAAGTGATGTGTGCTTGTGTCCCAAAACAAGACATGTAAAATAATGTATCCATTTATAGACGGGGGAGGGGGGGATGTAATACATCAAGACAGTTTCAGTAAATCTGTAGAGTATTTAAAAAATAAATCTGAACATTTTAAAATCTCCCCAAAATACCCTCCGTTATGTTACGACAGTTCAAAGGTCATTTCCCTTTACCGCCCTACTCTCACAAGCTATTCTTCACGTCTTTCGCTTCGCCTTATCGCTCACTCGTTCTCTCAGTCATGTGAACAATATAGAGACCGACCGAAAGTGATTTTCTGATTTCGGCCGAAGCCGAAAATAGGCCGAAAGTTTAAAATGACTTTCCGCCGAAACCGAAAAAAGGCCGAAAGTTTAAAAATGACTTTCGGCCGAAACCGAAGAAAAGCCGAAATTTAAAAATGAATTTCGGCCGAAACCGAAGCCGAAACCGAAAATGAAATATTAAGATAT